ATGAAATCTCAATTTTACAGCTCAGTGAAGTCGCAATATTCTGTCGTGTGTTTCGTTTTAAGATGCCTTATCAAGTTGGTAGTATTAAAGGCTGCTTTGCTAGTACCACCGCGTCAAACTAGAAAAAAAAAGAGAAAATAATATATTTTACATGGGGTATTAAATAACAATCAGTAAATAAACATTCTATTTCTTCAACAACGAAAATGTTACACATTTTAAGTTACGAAGAACACTTCAACATGTCACAAACCTATTAGATAAAGACATGTAAATCATCACAACACACAAAACTTAAACACGCTATTTAGGCGCTTAGGCGCTAATATAAACAACAAATAGCGATCTATGAAATCCCTTTTAAATAAACAAAATATACTTTTTTTAAACATTAGCTTACCACGCTGGGAATAAATAAGCATTAAATGAAGGTTTTTGTAGAGCTTGAACCTTTTTTTTAACACGAGCACATACATGCGAGTCTCTCATATTTCTTCCAGATTCATGCACGCTCTAAGCACGTCATCAACGTCCTTAAAGGGGCAGCACTCAACAGCTCGCATTGCAAACGTTGCATGTAGCTACCAGACTAGAATCACTTTCCAACTTAAAATACTTCCACACTGCAGATATCTTAACACCGTATTGCAAGTAGTAAACAACATGCGAGTTTAACATGCGAGTTTGCGACACGTGCGTGACGTAGCTGACATAAACATTCGATCGGTCCGATACATAGAGCCGATTCCGATCAGTTAAAAATGCCTCGATCGGCCCCGATACCGATCTTTATGATCGGCTCGGGACATCCCTAGTAGTAACTGAATATAGCTATGTGATGGACTCAGAGTGTGTTCAACCCTTCATTCTATGTGATCTGGAGATCACCAGCAGATCCCTGTAATCCTATATAGGAAAGAGTGGATAACAAAGTGTTTGGATAGATGAAGTCAAGTGCACCCTATGCCAGAGTGAATGGCAGGATCGTTATTTAAGTGTTAACGTCTCTTTTGAGAAACATAGGAGTTGTGCATCAATTATGTAAGAACGTTAGAGTTGAAATGACCAATCAGGCATCTAGAGACTCCATCCCTCCTTCTCTTCATCAATAAACTGTTTTGCTTTCCGTCTGAAGTGAGTGAAGGAAATGCCTTGTGAAACTCTACATCCACTTCCTTTTTTGATGACGTACTGTTGATGGGAGTGCATTGAAGATCCGATGTTTTTATTTCATTGTGTATATAATGTTTCTTTCTACTCACGATGCCAATGTCCTTGCATATATTTTGTTTTCTGCTTTACTTAATCACTCAAATAATATTTTATTAATTTAAAGCATTTCATACAACATAACCTTTTGTACCACACTACATCAGATGCACGAAGGAAATTAGTCAGTGGTGCTTTTTGCCTGTAAAACTGTGGCAATAATTATATTAATAAACTGTGTGTAATTTAAGTCCTTTTTCCAGTTTTTTGGCTGTTAACAGTGACGTTAGTGTTGTAGAGATCCTGGAGACAGAAGGTGTGGAACTTAGCCATCGTAAAAACCTGAACTTACTGATCGCTATTGCGAAGAACGCAAAGTAGTAGTGCAAGACGTAGTCCGTTGTGAGTTTTTATTTGTCACATACCCCCTTTACTCAATAAACACCAAGTCATCCTTTTCATTTTTATCTTAAAATCTGACCAGTTTTTCTATATAATGTTAGTAGTTTTCAGAACCCAGAAAATTGGCTACATCAGAAAACAAAGTTACAAATAAAATAATTTACTTTCCTTCTAAACGGTCTTTTAGTACACGAGGCCCCGGTCAGGTGGAACAACACACTGTAGCATTTTAGTTCTACACCACACTGAATACAAACAAGAAGGCTGTCATGTGACAACATCCACATCACTCATTGGCCAGATTCATAAGTGAGCGCATTATTAAATACTTTTACAAAAATTAAAAATGAATGAATACTCAGAGGAGCAAATGGCAACAGACAGCACAAAGTTATCAGATTAGAGAGACAACCAGCACTGACCCTGTCATGGTTCCGTAGAGTTGAAACCACCTGCATCAAGCTATGCTGCTAAAGCTCAATCAGCAAATACTTGTCGTTTTTCCATAATGGCACACAACAACATCTATTTTGGTTTTTAGCGTCCAGATCTCTTTGAGTTCGGATCATGTCCATGTTCCTTTGGTGTATGGCGACGCAGTGTTAAATCATGAACCTTGTCAGAGCTGGGCACACAGTTTGATGGTTTTTTTGAATTTGGATGGTTTCTGGAACTAAGCTATAATTTCTTGACTGCAAGCATTAAACACATTATAGTTGAATTAAAAGAACAGGGAGTTTGTTGCTAGATGTGTAAACCCTAAAATGTAATGTTAATGTCCTTTAAATGAACTAAGTTGTTTAAAAGTGTGTTGTTGGGCTAGCAATAACATTGTTACTGTTTGGTCAGATATGTTACTCAATTTTTTGGTTCCGTTTTCCATAACTAGATTCACACAGATTCAAATGTTTGGCAATACTTTTATTGTTTAACCCGTGGAACATGTCAAAATTCACTATCCGCTTTTGGGTAATCTACTAAAAGGATCTAATGATTATAGTTTATTGAAGTTGACTGGGGCTGTTTTCCGCCTGGGAAAGTCTCTGTGTCCTGCTCCAACTCTTGTCGAGAGATGTGAAACTACATCTTGGATGCAGCCGGGATTCCTTTCTTACGACCTCATTTCCTGCTGCAGCTCTGTTTCTCGCTCTCTTTCCCTCCTTTTTTCTTTTTCTCCCTCTGACTCTGCCTCTCCACAGTTTACATTTTAGTTGCATTTATTTGCAAATGTTTTCATTTTGTATCGCTAAAGACGCGTTCGCCGTACAATCTTTAAACGGCTTGAACCAAGTGTAGTTTTGATTAAAAGAATTACCCATTCCTCTTTTTCTCTCTCCCCCGCTCTCTTTATCTCTGTTTATGATGAGTTTCAGGCTGTGTCTGTCATTATTATGTTATTAGAGCGGTCTGTCCAGTATCTGGATTCCCTTCTCTTAAACATTGTGAGTGCGAATGCTGAACGTGCCAAAAATTGCAGGATTCAATTAATATTTTGCTGTAATATTTTCAATGTAATATTTGCTGTGCCATAGGAAGAGATCATTGGGCAGAAATTGCATTTTGTTGACGTATAAACAAGTAAGAACACTTTATAACATCACTGCTTTGCCTAGAAAACTTTGTTTGATAGTGGCTTAAAACCAAGTGTTCCAACAGAGTTGAGTGGCGAAGTAGAGCCCAAAGTACCACTGTCTTTAAACTTTGGTTAATACAGGCTGCAATCCATGTTGCTACAATAATTGTGCTGGCTTGCAGTGACGGGTTCTTTCACACCAGAAGAAGAGGAACAGCTGATATCTGCAGATTTAGTCCTCATTCGCACCACAGTGATCGCTCAGATCCTAACTACTGTAGTGGATGAGTATGTGACAGCCATGTGATATCATGCGGGCCACTCATTGATCAGATTGTCATTGTCCGTGTTTTCTCGACTGCTTTAGAATAAACGCACACACAGAAGAAAACAATGGAAGACAGAGCGCCTGAAGCCTGGGATAACATGCTCAAAGACTTGCTTTTGACCGTTGGTATCTTTTTATTAGGGGTGTAACGGTTCACGGTATGTATTGAACCGTTTCGGTACGGCCTGTTCGGTTCGGTACACTTGCGTACCGTTTCGGTATTCGGTATTTTTATTAAATGATATAAATGTATTATTAGCGCGATATTAAGCGCAGCGGAACAATGTTTCTAGGCGAGTTTCCGCACGGACGCTATTGACTGACGAGCACGAGCGCGAGTAGGAAAATGGAATCATATCAAAAGCGAAAGGGAAGCCAGAGCTTGAAGACCCGCTCACCTCACTACGGTCTCGTGTTTGAGAACACTTTGGCTTCTCTGTTAAAATACATAACGGGGATAGACGAGTGGATAAATTTAAAGTTGTATGCCGACATTGTTCCACGGAGATCGGGCAGGCAACACATCTAACATTTTCTACTGCTGGAGATTATAACCTGGAGATTATTAAGAAAATGTGGATAGGTAATCTATCCTAACTAGTTGCAGTATTTAATTTTTTATTTAAAAAAATGTGATTTTCTTAATAAAGAGTGCAATTTATTTAAAATATCACCCAAATGTGTCACTTTTATTTATTTTATGCAAGAATTCTACTGTGTATTGGCAGCTTTTCAAAATAAAGAATATGTAAGTTCTTATTGTTTTGTACCGAACCGAACTCTCCAAGACACTGTACCGAACCGAATACGATTTTAGCGTACCGTTACACCCCTACTTTTAATATATCATTTGTCTAAATCGGTTGTGATGCACGTTGCAAATGATGGTCGGATTACAAACGCTGCTGTGTCAACATACACGCCAACACATAATGCCACATGCAAGCGAGTACGGTGGCTGTTCAAAGAGCATGTTTTGTCATTTAGTTTGGATGTGTTTTGTAGTGTTTTTAGTTCAGATCAGAATTTGAACATGTTCTCACCACAAACAAACATCTCTAGAGTTTGTTTGTAACCATAGTGAAGCCACCTCCCAGAGAATGTCTGCTTTTGGTCTGTTTATTTATTTTTTTGTTATTGCTTTGTTTTTTTAGGTTATTTTTTAGGAAAACTTTTAGAAGTCAAAGTTTTTGTTAACATTTTAAGGGTTTGAAAGGAAGTGTTGTATCTGTTCTTTTTCTTCTGATGGATTTGCACTGATTGGGTGTGTCACAATCATTTGATTCAAAGAAGCTGTTTTCACTGTGCTAAACTAGAGGGATCCAAAGATTACTGTAAATGGTTTGAAAACGCATTTGATGCTTTCAGGTACTAGTCCACAAGAGAGAAATATTATAACTCTCATCTGTACATTTGCATTCATGCATTTGACAGATCCTTTTATCCAAAGCGACTTACATTTAATTAATAAATTTTTTTCTCAGTTCCTGCTTTCCCTGGAATTTGAACCCACTACCTTTGCGTTTATATCGCAATGCTCTAGCAACTGAGGCACAGGAAAGGAATTGATATGATTACATTCATGGTTATGACCATGCAAACCAGTACTTTACACACACCTCTCCAGTAATCCCAGAATGGATCTGAGAGCTGTAATCCAATCAGGATGTGCGTGATTACGAGTGCTGGAGGAAACTGGTGTCTCAGGATCTGAATGTGAAGTGTGGTTGGGATTAACTCTTCAGCACAGGCGGGAATCAGATCCGCTCAAAGTTCACTCCAGCACCAGAATCACCAGAGCAAAGGGATGTGGGAAACATTCTGCCAAAGACTTTGATTGTATAACATTGTAGGCACCAGACTCACTAACAAGGAAGATCTATGAGGAATTTTATTGATAAGTTTTCTCAATAAAAACCTTTTTTTTTTACAGTGGCAGCAGAAAGTGAGAGATGTTAACTTCCTGTTGATGAGATAATGAGGGTGTAATAAGAGATGCTTCACTCTGTGTAACCCACATGCATACACAGACACCACGACACATGCAACTTCCTCTTAAAGCACTGGATTCTTTCTGCTGCAGAGTGTGTGTGTGGGCCAGCAGCATGCCTTCTTTTTTAATATTTTCTTTTCTTTGCGTTTTTGGGATGAAGAAAGAAAACAATCAATGAAATAGTTCAATAACCTCAAACGTAAATCAACGTTAAGGTGCACGTTGGTTCACATGCAAAAGTTATAAGGCTTAAATACAATCCATTTTTCCAGTATTCCCAGCAAGAATTTGTCGATTAGCAGCTTCAGTGAGAATGCTTCGTCTTGTGCGTGATGCATCTGTTTGGTTTCGGATCCCGCTCCGAGTGCTCTGAATTCACAGACCAAACCTTTAGTGTGCCTCCACAAATCAAACCATATATTTGACAGTAAAAGTCTGACACCCACAGACTTGCTGTATTTGACCATAAAATTGATTTATTATTATTCATGACACAAACATTTAATTGAGGGTATTGAGCTGTAGAAAAGATTATAAGTAACAGTAGTTATTACTGTTATCACAATTATTACAAACATTTTAAATTAGACGGTTCTGAACTGTAAAAAAAGATGGTCATGTAAATGCCCATTACAATTTAAATCTTTGAATTTTACAGGTAAATAAACAGTTTTTATGGCACCAAAACAAGTTGATTAGACAGTTATAAACTGTAAAATATTTTAAAATTAATCAGATTTACAGTACCACCCTCTACAACTCTGCTCACAATACGATACTCTTCACAATTTCTTGTCATGTTGTTTTTCTGTTTATTGGTGTATGGGAGTAATTCCCTGTACCACAATTATTTCCTACTGTGTGTTCTCACACACACTTGGCAAAAATCTCATCCTGATTATGTCCATGATATAATATGTATCACAATATTTTACACAACTAATTAATTTTTTTAAACAAATTGAAAAAAATGTATATATATTTTAAAAGTTTTGAGACCGCAAAGCTAAAAGAAGCACTTATCATGAGTTTGATAACACACTCCTTTTATGTTTACAGGTGAAGCCAAAAATATTCCTCCATACCCGGGTCCAAATAAAATGAGGGATTGCTACTGCACTGTGAATTTGGACCAAGAAGAAGTGTTCAGGACCAAAACCATAGAGAAGTCCTTATGGTGAGGGCACACCCCTGCAGCACAATCATCACTGTTCGAACACTGAATTAAAAGTTATATTATATTATGTGTGCTGATTATAAACATTAAATGGACAAGTAATAATTTAAATAATCGTAACTATATTAACATGTCTTTCTTATCCACTCTGCAGTCCATTCTATGGTGAGGACTTTTATTGTGAAATCCCGCGAAGTTTCAGGCATCTTTCTTTCTACATCTTCGACAGAGATGTGTTCAGAAGGGACTCCAGCATCGGTGAGAAACTCTAATTACATTTAAATTCAGTCCATCAGATTAGGAAGCGAGTAGTTGATCATTTAATCATCTGCTGGACCACGGTTGCCCCATCATTTTACAATGAGTGCACATTTACAGATCCTATACTTTGGGCATTTGGTAGTATTCACTTCACATGTGAACACACACTTGCGTTTACTTATCAATTAAAACTATGTACTCAATAAAAATTTTTAAAAATCATTACAATTTTGTTTAATGTTGTTAAATGCCAATGCACAGATTTCACACATAGGAGTCAAAATAAATGTGATGTTTAGGGCCTAGCCATTAACACTCGGCTGAGTGTGTTATTATTCTGAAAGGTTGAGAGCTCATGCTCACCCTCTCTATTTCCCTTTACTTCCACTTTTATTTAATTTCCATGCCTGCATCATACTGCTTTTTACTTACTGCTTGCTACACTCTTGAGTAATTTCCTATTCCAAACCTTTTTGCCCTGTCTTACATTGCATTTTATTTGTACTAAGCCTGCCGCTCTTTACACTAGTTTATCTTCACTCCTTAGGAGCAAGTGTTTAGTTATTCATGTGGATTTTTATGTTTTTAATTCTTATTTTGTCTTTTGTCGAGAAATACTCTGTTTTTGGAATGTCAGCTTTTGCATTTGAGTTCTAGTATTTGCTCCAGTTCCTACTCAATGGCATATTTGAAAGAACCCCTTGCTTTTCCAGGGGGTTGAAACCCATGATCTTTGCATTACTAGTGCAGTGCTCTACTGACTGAGGTCAGTGAAGCTGGGCTGAGTCTGGCTAGTACTTGGATTTGAGGCAAAATGTAAAAAGCAGGTTTCATCCAGAAGAAATGCTAATGAGGCAGGGGGGGGGGTTAAGAATTTACACCAGGCTTTTACATTCATTAAAATCTTTGTTTTGTAACATGTTCTTCAAAAAAGTAGAGGTTTAACAACAGCATTATGGTCTCTGATCAAAGAGGCCCCGTAATCTACCCTTTCTCCTGATTGGCTGGCTCAGACAGACAGCTCTCACCTCTTGCAGGAAGATGCTGCTCACTGCAGCTTAATCTGGAGATCCTTGATTGATACATAAAACTTTTAAGTGCCTGACAAAGATGTGTCACCAGTCCAAAGAACTTTGATCTGATCCTTCACAAGAGTCATCAGTGGCTAAAACAAATCTGTGAACAGATATGTTTTTCTTTTTTTAAACTGACTGCTGCTTTAAGAATATTTCTCCTGCTAACGGTGTTAGCTGTTCTCTAAGAAGAGGTAAGAACGAGTAAAGGGTTCAAGGTTGGTGATCAGCCTGAGGTTACGATACAGAATTTATAACTAACTGTTTGTAAAGACAACCATGGTCTGTGTAATATAATGTATGTGTCCTGGGGGGTGGAAGTCATTAGCCAGTCAGAGGAGGCCTCTTCCATTTACATGCACAGCTCTAACTGATCGTTATGATTGGTTCATGATTAATGATGCTGCAGGCACTAATATCTTACTCAAGTCTGAAGATCTGGAAATGATATAAAATGAATGGAGTTTGTTTACCACAAAGTCTTCAAGTTTGAGATTCTCAAATCGAATGGAGATCTGAGTAATTTGAGGCTATTTCTCTATTTCATCAGAGCTATAATGGTTTGTCGTTACCAGGTTGTGGGCAGTTGTAGCTGCAGTACATTGGTTGCTAGGGGGTCATGCATGAGCATCATTAAGTTGTGAGTCTATCTCTTTTCTCTTGTTTCTCCAGGGAAAGTGGCGGTGAAGAAGGAAGAACTGCAGAAATACCATGGTAAAGATTACTGGTTCCCTCTGCAGCCAGTCTGTGCTGACTCAGAGGTGCAGGTACATCTACACACTTTACCCAGTCACACACCTGCCTCAAGTCCCTTAGTGTCTGCGTGTGCTGGCTTTCAGCTCCAGTGGATCTCAAAACAAACATAGTGTGTTGAGCACAAACACGAGCGAATCCCTGTCACCTTGAGCTGCTGAACACAACACGTCCTACTGGGGTCACATGAGCAAATCTATGAGTTACGGAACTAGAGTACATAACATGATGATAATACTTTGACATTGAGTGGACAGTTTGCATTATAACATCATAGTAAAAATTATGAGTTAAAAAATACATTACACGTTAAAAACTGTGTAATCGAGCACTTAATGGGGAACTTCTGATAGTGGCCTCCTGATCTTACTTTCCATCATTTTTACTCTTACCACTCTTCTACGCAAGTCTGTTCAGTGTTTCCCCTAGGATCATGGCCTTGGGGGGGGGGGGGGGGTTGTGGTGTTATGGGTGGTGCGGCAAAACACTCACACAAACACTTAATAGTGTTTATATGTTTCTTTAAATTGCAGTATACCAATATATTATAATGTCTGAACAATTACTGTACAATAACTAAACAACTGTACACTGGACTAAACACTAAACATCAGATTTATTTTAATATGTTAATTATTCACAAAGTGTGCAGCTTTTGTCACTGCAGTGTATCTTTCTGGGCTTCTGAAAGAACATTTCCAGAGCATCTTGGTATGGATAGTCTGAAACTTCTGGCCCATTTATTGAGATCCACATGCAGGCTGCAAGATGGTCCCCTTGCAGCCTATTGCGAATGTCTGTTTTGACCTGTAAATACATTAACTGTTAGGCTTTAAAAGTGATAACTGATAGTAACAACAGTAAAAATCAACTTAACATAGTGATAGTTTAAAGCAGGAAATGCCATTGTATAACTAACTAGCTAGCTATTAATTAAGCAATTTATTTATAAATTTGTACATTCATGCTTGTGTGTATTTACTTACTTACCAAGATCAGTCTTGTACAGCCAGGGGGAGTATTTCCTCTCTGACAGCCAAGCTGGGTCAAAACCTGTCGTTCTGTGGTGGATAGACTTTTGCTGCTTGTCAGGGGCAAGACATGCAGCACTTGGGCTCTTTTCTGTACTTTGATTCGGAGTAGGAAAGCTACACGGCTGCTGCTCGCAGCAGAACACGTGCTGTCATCGTCACCACCTTGGGAGCGTTTTTTAAAAAAATATTTTTGCCTGCTGCGACATACTCTCCGACGCGGAGCGGAACTCCGCGGTGCGCGCGCATCGGAGCGGAACTCCGCGGTGAGCGTG